CGAAAAAGAGAAACATAATTAAGAGGTATGATTGGTAGCGGAGCATGACATCGTCGGCGAGCCCAAGGCACCGTACTGTTCGCCCTAGATGCCCGTTCTTGTAGATTGTGTAGCACACCTGGATGTTTCTCCTTCGTTGACATTGCCAAGCAGCCAAGTTGAAATAAGAAAAAGCAAGAATAAAAGAAATAAAAAAGATAAAAAAAAAATGAAAAATGAAAAGAACTAAAGAAAGAGAAACTGAGAAAATTAGTAAATGAACTAAAATAAAATGACACAAAGCCAAGCAGGGAAAAGAACGGGAAATATGGGGATCAAATAGTTACATGCAGTCGAACAAAGAAGGTATGGACCAGAATATGGAGATCGGGGCGGCAGGGTAGATGACTTCCGGGCGGGAGGGGCCGGTCGTCGATGGTGCTTTGCCGAGACGGGGTCTTTGATAGACACCATTCTCTATTTCTCGCCCCATTGCACTAAATAGTATACGAGGATGATATTTTTACTTTAGACTCTCTTACAGAGATCTATCGAAGCAGTGAGTTATACTGGTTCAGTATAAAGCATTTACCAATTGTCTATCTAGCTGCGAAGCTTTCGAGATATATTTTGCAAACGGGAAGATTGAACATGATATTTATATTGCCTATCTTTCTGGATATCATCTACCATAAGTAGTACCAAGTAGATAGACAGTAAGTATCAATTGCAACTGCCATGGAATATTCCACTGATGATCCCAACAGAAGAACAAAGTAAAGAAGAATCGAAAAACAGCTAGTGCACTCACTGCACCGTACGTAGATGCCATGACTGTGACGATGCTCTTGCGTTCGGCGCTAGCGGGCTTTTGCCGATCAGGGCTACCCGAGGGCCGATGGGAAGCGCATAGAGGTGAAAGAAAAACAAACATAAATAGGGACAGAACGCAGCACATCATGGCGATGTATCGTACCAGAACTTGATAACATACACATTAGATATTCTTCCATTGTGTTACCGTGCAGAAGATGTCATCGCACCCAAGATCGCTGTTGGTGTTCGGTGCGGATTTGTCTCTGACCTGCAGTGACCATCCCCTCGCCCGGGCCGTGCACCTCCCCTCTCGCTACCTGCGAAGCATCGCAGATCACGGACCTCATTCCGAGGCATCTTACCTCACCGCTCAGACCCAGCCCCACACAGAACCATGCGCGCAAGTAGGCAGCACATCCCGGTAGACATCTTTTTCGACACCTGTTTCTATGAATCTTTATTGGTCTTTGTGTTTGTGTGGGTGTTATCGAACTAACTCATGACTACTTGTCCCGGTAGAGAGGTACCTGTGTGAAAATCGTGCGCGTCGTCGCTCAATCTCGCACCCAGGCTCTTTTTGTGCTCCAATGGCAACCCTCTGCAGAGCCCAACATGACGATGACGGTGGCGACACGATCAAAAGCAAATCAAGGGGCCAACGCCATCAAATAGTCTGGAGCCATCGCGGCCCGAGTCGAAGGGCAAGGGTGGTGATGGTGAATTTCTAAAGGCACGGGAAAAAGCATTACATCGGTCTACCGAGCAGGTTAGATGATTCTTTCCGGCTATAGTGTGTCTTTCACGAATTGATTCCTACTCGATACCGATAATCGTGTCATGGCAGTGACACGGAATGCGAAACGGTTTTAATCTTGTTTTCCCTTCCATGTGTCCCTCATCCTGTATGTTTGAGTCCATCTCAATGATGTGCATAAAGTGTATCGCTGGCCCATCCCCCCAGAACGAATGTCCCTAGCCACAGACCGGCGAGCACCGACAGAAAGTATCCTACATTCATGGTCATGACCGCCAGCATCAGTAGATAACCCACACCGGCAACCACCAACTCCAGCGTGGCGCGGCCGGCGGCAGGGTTGATGGCCCACCGGGTTCTCCCGTGGCCGTGCTCGGGGCAGGATCTCGATATCCCGTCATTCCACAGACTTCTCTCACATATCGGTTTAAGCGCGAGGAGGAAACGGAGAATGACGGCCAGGGCGATCAAAAAGATGCATGTTCCCGCGTACTGCCCGGTGGTGGAGGGAGTCCAGGCGTTGGAGTATAAGGGTGTGGTGGTCGAAGTGAAAAAGACCATCGTCATAGACATTGACACAGAAGAGGAGGAAGAGTCGGTTGACATGCTTGTTGTGCTGGAGCTCGTGGCTGTGCTGGTTCCCATGGCCATAGCCATGGTTGTTGTGGTGGAGCTCATATCCATGTCCATCATTGCGTTGAAGGGAAATGCCGTGGACGCAGAGAAATGTTGCTGGGGATGGAAATGATAGAAGGAAGAAAGAAAGTGAAAAAGGGCAAGCCGAAAGAGAAATAAACTATCAGAAGACTGCGCCTTGACATATCGGCCAACAACTTCGACTGATATCTCGAATTCTCTCTCTCCCGCGCCGACCCGCCAGGCTCGGACGCTACTTCTTACGCTAGTTTCACGCTAATGCATTAGGCCGCGCGCTGACCTGCCCAAAATCCCCTCAAATGTGCTCAAATCTCGACTGTACTGCGTGTAATTCCCCGCCAAAAATGGCTCAGGCTAGGATTGATAATTAGCTCAATGAAGTGTTGTTGGCGAGTATATACTGAGCACTAAATACTGTCTCGACGCGTCGCATGTTACATGCAGATTACTACAATCTACTATCAAATCTGTTGCGCCACAGAGTCATTTCTCTTCTGCAAAGGATATACATGCATTGCGATTGGCTACCATAGGCATAAGGAATGTAGAGACAGAGAAAATCACTTCGCTTCAATTCTATCCTGTCTACCACTAGACACCACTTCTTACTCTTTCCCTCTTCACCTCTCCTATTCAATCCCCCTCTCTTGTATCTTGTCCGCACATCCAGCATGGTTATGATACCGTGACTGACCTCGCCCGTCGCCCTGCACTCCAACCGCAATGCCGGGACGTGTAGTTTGATCCCGGAGCAATGCGCCTTCAAAGAATCTTGGTGGGTGTTCTGGTACGAGGCTGATCACCGTTATGCCCTGCCCACGGTGGCCTTGTTCCTCGTTACTATCATTCTTGTCGCCCTCGGCAAACTGCTCGGTCTTCTGGTTCCTGCGCGAAGACGAAAGAGCGGATCGTTTTTGTCTCGCCTGTTCGCCCTTGTGCGTCTCTTAGCCTCCCAGCAATGGCGCCCCCTGGTGACGGCCGGCACCATGCTTCCCCTCGGTGGGAGCGCAAGTGAAGGCGAGGAGAAGGAGGGCAGAATGCAGACCTCGGGCGCCCACGGTGGACTGACGATTGTCATCCACGAGACGCACATCACGCAAGACTACAAAAGTAGTGAGAAGACGATTGTCGCGGGGGCGGAAAAGCAGCCCCGCTCGCTGTGTGCAGAGGAAGAGCCGCAGGACGGGAGGCACGCGGCCTCCGATGAGGAGGGAGTCGATGGTAAGGAGGCGCTCACGGCTGGTTTCTCGCTGCCGGTCCTGGTTCGCCAGGGTAGGCCGCCGCTAGTGGATATTGTCGGCGTGGAGGTCGAGCGTCCGCCGCTGCGTTGGTGTCGTGTCCTGCGGGCCGGCGTCGATGGCCCACGATGTGAGCCAAGCGGTTGCCAGTGCTCAAGCGCGAATCTTGGCCGGCGGGCTGCCGGGACGTGAGATCTGGTCACATCAGGATGGGTTTAGCTATTGAGCCAGAGGCTGTAGCAGGCGGAGCGGGTGCTCTGCTGTCCGCTGCTCAATAGTTCAGCCCAATGATCGCGTCAGGAACAATTCTCAGTGTCAATCACGTCTCGCGACCGTCCTTTCAGCGCTGATTTTGTCAATCCGAGCCTGCTTCCTCCTGCATGCATACGTTATCCCTCTGGTTTTATTGGAAGAGGTTGACTTCTAATTGCAGCGGTGGAGGTCTGGATGTGGGAGAGAAAAAGATCCCACGGTGGTATCTCGATCATCAACTGCGGGGACCCACTACAACAATCAGATGCCAAGCGTCTGGTGGGTTCGAATCCACGAATACGTAACACACAGATGATGGCAGGCAGGTCATATAGTGATTTTCGCCTAGGGCTTGGCTCGAAGTGATATACAGCCGGGCATCAGCCCCGAGAACTTAGGAAGTGGGGGATCAATTTCAACTAAAATGAATGTAGAACGTTCGCTTTCTGGGTAAAGTCGGAGCATGAGTACTGAGGGGTTGACTTTATTAGCAAAATCATGGTTGGTAGAGATATATACTAGTACTTTAGAATATTTCACGTGACTTACAGCACGATCAGGGCAAAAGTTCTCACTGTACATCCGGGACGGGAGGAACCGGGTGGATTTAATTCGTAATCTAGCCCTGATTGATGGCACCAGGCGAACACGGTATAGTCATTTGTTAAAGAAAAATCAAGCTAGACACGTTTGGAATTCAATTCATCTTTCCGCCTCTAGCATACTAAGAAAACGCACATCATGCAAGACTACACCAGCGATCGTTTTCGACATTGCCTAATATGAAGCTAGATCTTTGACACTCATCTCCGCGCAACCTAACGCGACCGCGACTGGTCGGGAAGCCAGGAGCTGGAGTGTAGATGACTTAGATGACTCGTAGCGGGTGTGACAATACCAGGTAACTTGCCTGAGACACTTGACAGGGTATCAATGGTCCATAAGACTAGCTGGGTGGTTATGTCGTTCTGAGCTTTCAGTGCTCACAGAGAAATGTAATAATATCATGTCGAAGTTGGCGTATAGAGACTGAGCGGAACTGCGCACCTTTAGCAATGGGAGTATGCACAGGGCATATGACAACTCCACTATCAAGCCACACACCGTCGCCACACACAGGATGCTAAGGGCGAGCAACCAATGGAGAGCAGGGTAATCAAGCTCAAATCTGCTCATGGTAACAGGCGATTCGGGTCTAGCCAAGTGGGTCAAAGCGCTAGAGCCATCAGGGCTCTACTTGATCACGCTGCACTCCTTCAGGCAGCACTGATGGATAGTTTGATAGTAGTACTTAGTAATAGCAATAAACCCCAGATCCTCTGTCCTGCCACATTTGGCCGGAGATTCATTCCAACTGCCTCGAAACGGCTTGCTACAACCCGCGGCAAGACTTGCAAGATGTCCGCAGCCTGGCTCACATCACCGGTCCAGCTGACAGGGAGTCGGGAGTTCACCTGTGATGGCTTCACAACGGAACAATGTGACTACTATATACAGCGATGGCATTTTTGGTCAGATTGCTCCCTGGATTCTCCCCGACCGACGCCAATAGTCCTTAGACTTCTCGCTGACATCTATGCAATGCAAATAGGTACATCGCCGACTATGTCTACGCTCTACCGACCATCGCGTTCTTTATGTGTTCAATTGGGATCTTCATCATCGGGTACTTCCTTTCTTCGATACTTGGTAACCGGAGAAAGTTTCGGGGCGCCCGAGTATGGCAAAGGTTGATTGCCTTCATCCGATACTTGTCCTACCGTGGCTTTCATGTCTGTGCACTGGGATGGAGTTCAGCTCCCTTGGGAGTCCTGCTTCTGGGTGCGGCAGGGGCCGTCTTCTTCCTCTGTAAGCCAACATCGCCGCTAGAGCGAACATGTCGAAGCTGATGATAGCTGGATTATCAGGCATGGTGCTCATTCCCCAGCCTTACTACTGGTCCAGTCTAGACTATGGTGGTTCGCCTCCCCTTGCTACAAGATCGGGATGGATGGCGCTGGCGTGCATGCCCTTTGTCTTGTAAGTCTCCAAGTGGTTGAAGTCGTTGTTTGATATAATAACTGTGTACAGCGCAACGGCCACCAAGACGAATTGGATCACCCTCTTTACCGGCGTCTCCCATGAGAAGCTCCAAGTATTTCACCGATGGATAGCCTATGCCTTCTTTGTCCTCGCGCTCTTGCATACTTTTCCCTTCATTGTCTACCATATCCGATTCCATGACATGGTGATGCAATTTGAGATGAGCCTTATTTTTTACTGGACCGGAATTGTGGCTATCATCTTCCAGGCCTGGCTTACCTTTGCCTCACACAGTGTGATTAGGTATGTGACAGCACAGCAATGGACAAAAATGCAACGTTCTCACCAATATGAATTTGTTGCAGAGAACTGGGCTACGAATTCTTCAAGGCGACACACTTCTTTGCTGCTGCCGTTTTTATTCTAATCTTCTTCTGGCACTGCGACTATACCCTGACCTCCTGGTAAGCACAAGCATCTGAAGCGGCCCCCTTGAACACCACCACCAATATCTATCTAGGCACTACTTTATCGCGACAGCCGCCGTATACGTCCCATGTTTCCTCCATCCCTGGCTGCGGACGCTTTTCGAGTATGGAATGTGCCAAAAGGCCCAAGTTCACCTGGAAAGCAACGGCTTCATCCGGATCACAATCCCCGTGGCCTTCCGGTGGCGACCCGGCCAGCACTGCTTCCTCCGCTTCACCAGCTTCGGGCTACTCCATGCGCTCTCGGCGCACCCGTTCACCATCTGCTCCCTGCCAGCAGAAAAGCCCGGTGACGAATCCCACCTCGTCTTCTACATCCGCCATCAAGGCGGTTTTACGGCGCGCCTTTACGAATACGCCGTGGCGCGCCTGGAGGCTTTTGTGCCGGTGCTCGTCGACGGCCCGTACGGCGGAATCAACCTGCAATCCTACGTTTGCAGCGACAATCTCCTGTTGATTGCAGGGGGATCTGGCATTGGATGGACTTTGCCGTTCATTCAGCAATTCCTCGCGTCACGGTCAGCGTCTGGTGACGTAGAATCTGGCCAAGGAATTGATGTCGTGAGCGAGGACGATACAGAAGCAGCAAGGTACAATAACCCGCCTTCCAGCAATGGCGTTTCTGCGCCTCGCTCCCTGCGGGTCATCCTGGCAACTAGAGACACCGAAAGCCGCATGTGGTTCGATCAAGCTATCAGTCGGCTGCTGGACGAGTTCCCCATGCCCGGCGCGCTGCTCGATCTTCACATTCAGATCCATCTGACTGGTGACGAGTCCGACCGGCAACCGACCCAGAGACAGCAGACCCCCGCTGAATTGAAAGAGCAGGGGCCCTTGCACGCAAGTGGGGATATTTCGAACTATCAAGCGATGCTCACCATGGACAGCTCGAAGGGCCGGCCACAGCTCCCTGCGATCATTCACGAAGCAGTTCATCCCGGCGAGTCGCTCGGGGTTTATGTTTGTGGGCCGATTTCGATGCAGAGTGATGTTCGCAATGCGGTTGCTGAGGAGAACTTGAAGGTCCTGAAGGGGGCCAAGTCGGGCGGGATTTATCTGCATTGCGAGCATTTTCAATGGGCATAGTAGCAGGGATTTGTGTTGATACTTAGTTCATTGGTTGACCGCGCTGAAGACTGGCTAGTCCAATCTCAAGGCTGAGATATGCAGACAAAGTTGAGGTCCCTGAGGTATCCATGCCGATTTGAAGAGCGACCGCTATGCAAAGTGCTGAAGGCTAGAAATTGACTTCCGTTTGCCCTACATGGCGAGATCCATTGGAGGAATTTGATCGTTGGGCTTAGAAGGTGTGATTTGATTGAGCTCAATTGCGCACAATTCGACCAGGGTCAGAATTGGTGTGAGGGGTCGGACTCGCTCAGGCCATACTCAGGCCATACTAAGGCCCTCCATCACACTCGGGCCTTTTACAAGTATGGCCTTAACGAAGAACCTTTGCCTCCTATCATATTGAATGTATTAGCAGAAGATTACGGGAGCCTTAAACAATATATTAGATTACAGAGATTTTAAAGTTATCTACTATAAGAGCAGTAAATTCAACCACAGGCACTGGCCTATACAGGCTTTAATAAGATTCCAAATTTGTTAGAAAAGTAATATTTATATTCACCGATGTATATAAAGAATAGAAATAGTGTATCTCTGTTTCGATGTCTCACCACCCTGACATTATGCCCGTCTCATTCTACTGTCTAGCCGATCATAGGGCCCCCTATTACCGCCTCCGTTAGTGAGGTCTTTGGGCTTAAATCAAAATCTAATATGAGTCTTTACTTGATAGCTCGGCTGCGCTATCCCGCCACATACGACCACAGGGTGTGGAAAATAGGGCTTCCCGTCCGCTCAGCCGTACTCAAGCCACACGCCGGGAGGTTAGTAGTTGGGTGGGTGACCACCAGCGAATCCCTTCTGTTGTATGTTTTTGAAATCTTTTTCTCATCAGATACACAAGACTAAATCCATACACAATATTCAAATATGCACGTAGATCACTACATCGAGATGTCTATACGTCGAATGAATGGCGCACCCAAAAACGCTGTATGTAATAGGCGGACTGCTGGCTTGTATAGCCAGAGGACAACTCTGATTTGCTGTACAAATGTCGGAATCCTCTTGACTATTTTTACATGACAATAGCTATGTGCAAGCTTTTATTGCTTTTGGTGTGCCTAGTGTAGCAGCGTCCAAGTAGCCCGCCAGTAGCCTATCCTTTCCGAAGCCAGCATTCAATTCACGTACCATCGCACTGTCATCACACACTTGATCAAAAGCTGCGAAGATAGGGAACGCAGATCCCATTAAACCCCCAATTCGTACCTAGAACCTTTGTCCGTTGCCATCTATGGTCCACAAGTATAGTGCATAACCCCGGCCATAGCCTGTAATAATAAACTTCTGTGTGGGATCGTTTCAATCAAATACATTCCACCCTCACTATAGCTTAAACTAACTCCTACAGTCCTGTCCTGTCCACCCTTGAGTAACATGCTAATACTAGGATACTGTAGAAGGGGTACTCTACCAGTCACATGCATTGAGCATAGCAAGGGATAAATGGGCCCCAGTAGCCGCATGATTGCTTTCTTTCTGGGTGTCATAAATCGCGCAATGCAGAAACCAATTCTTTATATCGCAAGGGCCATTATAGACGCAAAACTGAGTGTCTGCCCCGCCCACAGTTGATTTCACCCAGACGACACAACCGTGCTCACAATGATCAACCGGCCAGGGGGCTGCGATAGGAATAGCAGCCAGAAGAAATGAGGTCCAACGAACATTCATCGTGTTTCGTACTTGATGAACTGCTTTCAACAGAATAGATCTTCAATCTTTAGAACCCTGTTAAGTAGAAGTGTTCTTGTATTGTGACATCGATATCGCAGAGCTCGGGGCAGGAAATTAGTATGTACAACGAGGAGCACCCACTGTACGTTCTTCTCGTTTCGAGTACCAATGAACTGAAGACTCCTGTGGCGGCAAGGCGTACTCTTGGTTCAGGTTGGTTCGTGTAGTTAAGTTAATACCCCCCATCCACAGTGGAGGCACGGTGACAGGCCCCTCATCAGACACCCCGTAATCTTTGATCTAGACTAAATGCTTGAATGGAGTATGTTTAGCACAGAACCTTGTCTCGCAACGAGTACGATCTCTCCTTCGCGCCAGATCGTACAACGCTCGTATTTCCCTTTATTCTGCCAAGAATATTGTGAATGTGGCCCACAAAAGCTATACGAGCAACCTGCAGACGCAGCTCTTCACCAAACGATATTTCCCTTGAAACCAACAAACTTATTTTGGGCCGGGACCAGAACGTAGTGGATGTTTACCTAACTAGAATCTATTCATCTTTCGGCAGCTGTGTGTGTTCACAGCTAGCTGCTGCAAGAGAAGGGGATTATGGGAGACTTCCTCAAAGCCGCGGATGCTCCTCTTTCACAGATGGGCAGTTTGTCCAGAATTTTCATTACACTTCGTGTCTTGGAGGGGTCCCAGCACTAGGAGCAAGTAGGGTTTCGGACCGTAGTGTCATGATCTGCTTGACAAAAACAACACATCCAGATTCAATGGCTCCTTGCCGAAGGGGCATTACATTTCCGGTGGTGGGGGGGGGGAAGCGAACGCCACATCACTTACCACCGGTCCGGCCGTATCCCCTATCCGCGTACCGAGCTGCAGCGAGGTAGTTGGAGGTATCCCTGCTTTGTGGTGGCAGTATAACATAAAAGTGGATTTCTCATGGGAAGAATGTAAGTGAACGAGCTTAGGGCAAGGAGGTTATGCTGCGATCCAGACAAAGACTATGACGAAAATCGGTACTCTCCTGGATTCCTGCGTGTGGTAGTAGGGAAATAGTACTCTCGTACTGGGGCCACGGTCAATTGAAATTGTACGAAAATGGCTCTTGGGGGCTGAAAGTTGGTCGCAAAAGGGAAACGGTAGACAAACTTAAAAAGCTTAATTACAAGGTGCTTCCAGGGTTCTACCATTCACTTCGTCAAGCCGCGGGAAATTAAGATGGCCTTATCCAATACAAGCAATGTCGAGTTGGGACAAATAAAAGCTTCGAATTTACCTCCAAACTTTCCTCCTATGACCCTCATCTGATATGGTGAGTCGCGTCTTCAGGTTGGTCACCCGGTATATCTCACCAGATTATGCTCGTAACTTTTGCCTCAAGCACGGCTTTCGTGCACAACAAAGAAAGTTAAATGCCCATACAGACATTGCTTCTTCTTGGAGTGACTCTTATATCATGCTTTGTCATTAAAAATTGCAGGTATGAGTACGTTGACTTAAAGCTATACGTTCGCACCTATTTGCAAAACTATTATGGATATGAAAACTTGCTATGATTTTAACACAACAACTTTTTGGTGTTCGCTCATATAGGCTTTATCGTCTTTACTACAACTGCTCATGTCCTCTAAGAAGCTTCGGACTGACCGCGAGGTGAGAGGCAAAGACAGAGTAGAGGGACTCTTTTTGGTTTCTCCTCCAAGAGAAGAGCCAAGAGAGCATCGGGCTGGGATCCGGACGTTGGCTAAGTGAATCTCCGCTGCAACAAATACAAAACACAGGGAAGCTAAACATTGCAGGATGATTCTTATACATGATGTAAATGGGCATCCATCCAACAGCTGGTCTAACAAGTCCAGAGACAAACTTTGGCCAGAATTGTTGTACAAAGATTTACCATGCTCTCAAGTTTTGTCATATGGGTACATAACGAGTCCACTCTATCCATTGGCTTCAGCTGCGAACAATTTCTTTCGGTATCTTGACATATCCAAGGTATGCCACCTCCAATTCCAAATTGTGCAGTGTATTCTTATACTAATAACTGAATCAGGAGGAATTCATTGAGCTTGAAAATAGAGGGCGAATCATATTTGTTGCCATAGGTTTGGGTGGAGCCATTGCCAAAAGGGTATGGCACTTGGTTACATATTCACCTTGCCAGATCACATCTGATTTGACAGATATTGCTTGATTCTCGCGAAAGTGTCACACATCAGATCTGGGAAAAATGCGACGGGATTATCACCCTCCACCCGACTACATCGTCGTACCGTCTACGGCCAGGCGTTCGTCTCCCGTATGACAAGAACCTTTTGAATGAGGCTCAAGTGATAAACGATGAATTCCAAGTCATCTCGTCTATGGTCAACACTGCTGAGATCAGGAATACTCCTCGTCGTTTATTTGTGAGTCCTTGATTGAACAAGTGTCACAAAGTGTCTAATCATCTGTAGCAATCACCAGCAGAATCTTCACAGGAACATGAAGGGCCCTTTGAGACAAATACATATGAGGCATTTTCTCAGTCGAGCGACTGGTATCGCGAACTTCATGAAAGCGATGATTTGTTCAAGTTCATGATTGACAAAATGATTACCTGGCTACGATGGGGCCAGAATATTTCCGCTGATCCTCAGTCGAACACGCAAGCGGAAGCCAGGATTCGGATACTCAGCATTGGTACGGCCGGGTTAGTTAAGCCTTGAATTATACTAACTTATACTAACAACTATAGATGGTGGTGGTGTGCGAGGTTTATGTTCGTTGCTTGTGTTAAAGCGTCTCATGGCTGCGATACGTCACTTGGAACTTATCAAGAAACCGGAGACTAGAAATGAAACTCGAGAACCAGTAAACTATTTCGACATTGCTGGCGGAACAAGCACTGGAGGGTTAGTAGCACTTTCACTTTCTAGTAAGAACACAAGGCTGACCTGGAAGGGTAGATTGATTTGCATTATGCTATTTCGACTTGTAAGTTCTCTCATTTCAGAGTGGACATGGTTGTACCAACATCGACAAGGAGATGAAATTGTCCGAGGCCATTGAGGAATACAGAAGACTTTCGCCAATTATTTTTCGCCAGAGGTGGACACGTTTCCTAGGTTCCAACATCCTTAGAGCTACTATCGGGAGGCCCTGGGTTGATGGAAAGGTTCTCGAACAAGGGGTAAGAGATTTGCTGATTCGTAATCTCCCTGCTGGGGAGAGAAGCGGTCTGCAGGACCAGATGCCGGATGAGGTACAGTTACACTCCGGAAATGACCCACGTGTGAAAATGTGAGTCAGCCCTGGTGGGTTCTATATTTACATTTATAACGATCTCCAGGCTCGTATGCACTGTGAGGAAAGATAATGCTGCAGTCACACGATTCAAGAACTATGGGCAGCAAGTTCCATGTAAAGTGTGGGAGGCTGCTAGGGCGACTTCCCCGGCTCCGTTCTATTTCCCGACGGCAAGGGTGAATGGAATCGGATACTGGGATGGCGGTCTGGGAGCAAACAACCCGATATCTCAGGTGTGGGTTGAGTCAAAGTCGTTTTTTCCCGAGCTAAACACAAAGTTTGTCATTAGTCTGGGAACAGGACGTCCTGAAAGAATTACTAAGTCATGGATTTCATCGATTGGACGGGCCAAAAAAGTTCTTGGACACTTGATGAGCACCGAAGTAAGACACAAGAGATTTGAGGATGAGGCCCGCAGACACGATATATTTTACCGGCGATTTAACCCAACCACTTCTAATCATGATATCGGTATGGCTGATTATAGACTACTCGGTCTACTTGAACGCTACACAAATGCCTACCTTGACGCAGATGAGATTCAGGATGATATCTGGGATTGTGCTAGGCAACTGGTGCGATGGCAGAACGAATAGTGTTGCCGAGGATATTGTTTGCATTAAAGTCTAGGGGGAGACAGTTTCTCATGTACTGATAGCAAATTCTCTCACAAGAGACTTGTAGCAAGATCTTTTGACTGAAGGCGCGATCCCGAGTGAGAGATTATGCTCAGGCGGCTGCTGCAACACGCGGCTTGATCGCACATCTGTATCGAGGGTTATCCGATGCCATTTCTTTCCCCACCGGGCGAATGCTGGGAGATTATGGTTGGCAATAATTGCTTCTTTTATGCTTCCGTTAGAGCTTTGCGCAAACATAGCAGCACGTTACCCGATGTGGTCACCATATTCCGGTATATCAAAACCATACGTATCAACAACTGAGACCAAAGTAGTTCCCTTGAAGTGAAAATTATCCTGACATGTTTGCTTTCCTCTGACCTAATATTCGGTAGGAACAGCAAATAGCATCACTGCGGTCCTTGGCCAGATCGGCTGGCAGGGATGTGGGCCCATTGTCTCCCCGAGCGGTTGACGATCTAAATGCCTCGCTCTGGCACGGGGTGATCGCGAACTGTGCTCTCGAGAACCGTACGTTTGGAAACTTCGATTGCATGACCCTGGAGGCTGTGGGCGCAGAGATGGGGAATCGCTCGAGGATGGTGATCTAATGGCCGAGCTTGGAGAGCCAGAAGCTTCCATTGGGGTATCCTCCGTAGCTTTAGCTGTATAGCTAACTTGTAATTGATCGTAATTTCTCATCCATGATTAGATATATGCGAACTCGTAGGGAAAGATCTATTTCTAAATATTAGTAGGTTTCTTCCATCATTCTGTATGTGTATGTCACATCCATGTATTAAGTCGGACAAGCAGTCTACAACAGTCTGGGGCACAATTGTGGCATCGCTGGGCCCGGTGTTAATTGCCCAAATGGGATTGGTCGGCGCAGAGGAAGTTCTGAACCCATGATGACGGTAAGCTAGCGGATGTTGCGGGAAGTCAGAGACACATGCCCTAAGAGTCTATATATGTTTTCGTTACTTGCCATTTGCATTGAACGCCACGAGGCATGCGGGACGTAACACTCTAATGCATGCATGACTCTTATTTGATTGGAGACGACAGACAGATTTTGCAGCTAGACCCGGAGTTTGGACTATAAAATAGTCCTAAATGTTGACACGTCAGGGGGTTCAGCTGACCCACCATTATTCCCCACGCTCTGCCGCTTCATGCAGCCAAGCAAACATGCCATGAGACAAGCCTCTCAGAATTGGTGCAACAGGGCGGTGAGGTGCATATTAGTGGCTACTAGGTCAGATTTTAGTGTGGTGCTAGCTCTAACTGAGCTAGAGGCTATATCACTTCACTTGATAATTTAAATTTCTTCAGAGCTCTGACTAGGTCAGAGTTGCTTCTGTAGTGACTAGTCTTCAAGAGTCCCCAACAACTATCGTAGTTCCTACTAAGCTAAGCAAAGCTTTGATCTAGTCCAAGTCCATACCAGATAACGATTGGCAATATAGCCGTTAAATGGGTCAGAGCGTAGACAACACCTCCACAATTTCTGGCCTAATCGCGCTAAATCCTGGCCGAGTCGCAAGTGTGCTCCCGGTCGAAATCCTGCCAGACGGCTCAGCCTTGCCGATCGAGTTAGCACACCATGATAAAAGGAGGACCCGGGCTTTCCCACCCGCTGCAACGTTGCATTCAACTTCTTCGTGCGCCCGTTGAATGACAAGACCCCTGGCACCATGACCAACGACACTCGCGTCTGCTACTACCCCTCGGGCGCAATAGCTGACGATAACGTACCGTGCTCATCCGACGAGTACACTTCGTGCTGTGGAAGCACCGATCTCTGCCTCTCTAACGGTCTCTGCCTAAGTGTAACCCATCAACCATACGTCTTAAGTAGAGGGGCCTGCACCGATCCAGAGTGGGGCACCGGATGTTCCCAATATTGCCGTGCGTTGCCAACCCGGGGAATGGGGCGAGGGGCGGATTTTCTCTCTCCTCTCTGCGCCTTTGAGCTTGTTGATGGGGCATCACACTGACCGTGTTTCAGAGGACAACAACCCCACCGGCGGCTGTTCGATCATCAACCTCAAGTACTCCGATGGAGTATCAACCTACTGTTGCGGGACACCCGTTGCCAACAACGACTCGCAAGTCGTCTGCCCCGACAATGCCAGCTCCTTCGAAGTTCCGACCGGGCACGCGATGGTTGGCTACGCGATGCTGGCCAACGTATCCACGCTCGATGCTACCGCGAAAACAACGACTTCCTGCTCGTCGAATGAGACATCAACGCTGGTCAATTCAACAGCATCGTGTACGAAGGGCGCTTCTTGTCATGACGCCGCCATTGGCGCCGGGGTCGGAGTACCGTTAGGGGTGATTGCGCTGGCGTCGATTGTATGGGCATTGTTTGAGCGAAGGCGCGCAACCGCAAGGCGTGCTGGTCTGTCAGCGCCCAACACCAGCCAGTCGGCACAGATTTATACCCAACAGCTACTCGTACCAAGTTCACAGCACTTTGGCGGGCACTTTGGCGGGCCACCCACCGAGCTGGATGGGTCGAAACGGCCATCGGAGCTGGAGACCCCTTAGTTGTGAGGCATATCGTCCCCGCAAACTTCACTTTGTGAGCATTGGGGGTTACATATGCATCGGAAAAGGAAACGGAGCATCTGGTGACATGCGCTTTAGCATAATGCATACAGACAGCCGGCCTGGCCCCATCACAACTGCTCTCCTCTGTACATAATCAATATATAATATCTCCTCGGGTAATCCTATAAATATCTTGTATCGTGTTTGATATCATATAGCTTCACGGGTGCCACCAGAGTCAGGAATATCACGTGCATGGACAAAAGTCCCCGGAGGGTGGGTCTCGAACAAGCATTATGAATACTTCTTATATATTCTCAGTAGCCTGGCGGAGCGGAAAGTATTCACTCCCGCGATGCATACAAACACGACTCTTGCTAATTTTAAGGAACTGAGGAAGGAATGAGCTTTCATACTGTCATTGAATTAAACTGCCTTGAATGAACGAGACCTGAAACAAACAAAAGCTGTAAGGAACAAAGACTGCTTGACCTGCTTGACATTCATCACCAACGCCGCAGATTAGAAATTTATTGCACCTGCAGGGCTCTTTTGATCCGCAACATTACTGCGGCGCTCAAAACACACAGAGTCTTTATGTGTTCTCTCACACTCAATTTGAAAGGACCATAGGTCGTCATGTCTAAGAACGTATCGTGTGTATGCGTGCCCCCCGCGAGGTATGCCGGGTAACTGGTCGTCGGCTTTCCAAATACAAGCCAAGCCTGGTGGCCGTCCTGCGCGAAAAGGATTTTACTTAAAACTAGTTAGCAAACGGCTTCGTCAAAGTGTATATTGGACCACTTACTATCCACCAAAGACATTATTCCACGGCTTGGCGGACTTGAGCCAGCCGACAATCTCCGCTGTCTCCTGCATTCTAATCCTATCTGAATTATCCCTCCGTGGTCCCTTCTTGACCTCTGCGATCGCGCGCACATCATCTATGTCATCCTTGATCCAGATGCCCCCGTCGGTTAAGGCCTTGTACGAACACGTCTTGAAAGTCGCCTCGAAGGCGACGCGGACAATGGTGACTTCAAAATTTGCTTGTGGAATCAAATTTGACACCGCATCGAGAAACGTGATAAGCGCGACGTTTGTGACCGCCTCGTCATTCGGAGGCTCCCAATCGTCGGGTTCGACCTTGAGCTTCGATTCGACTACTGAATGTGAGTCACGAAAACCCTGAGGCATAGGGAGTGGCTTACCTGGTTCATCGCGTTTTCTATTTGCCTGGGAGCGCGTGTTTGCTGAAGGCGAGAACTGATCGACGGCGTCGGCCTTTCTTGCGATGTCCACGCATCTCTTCTGCCATTTCAAAACTAAGGCCCATGATCCCGGCCAGCCCGGCTGACCCTCAGCCAGGGCACCCAGTCCATCTGGACTTTCGACCAATGAGAAATAGTTCTGAATCTCGACCGACTTCGCCACAAGTTGCTCAGCGTCGTCCCAAACTTCATTCAGGTGGTACTTGGCCTTGTCATTGAGGATGTGAGAGAACTTTTCCGGGCGGGGCCACACTGCCCGAAATAAGACGAATTGCTTCTTCGTTACTTTGGAACCAGAACCAAGCTTCACAAGGTCGTGGAGAGACTTTCCTATAAGACGAGACTGTGTCGCAAGACGGACCCACTCGGACCTGCTTGCAGGGATCGAGAAACTCCCCCGGAACGAGTCTGCGTCCTTATCCTCCCCCTTCCTTTTGAAGAGTGACATCGTGACGAAGAAATGATTGCAATGATTGTCTTAAGAGGGGCGAAGTGAAGAACGAGCGCTGTTCGTGTGTGTATGTGTGGGTGTGGGTGTGTGTGGGTGTGTGGGCTTGGAGAGATCGAGCGAGTGAGCGAGTGATAGAGAGGGAGGGAGAGTGTGTGTGTGTGCTTTGCAGAGATCGACCAAGCGAGTAAGAGAGGGAGAGAAGGCGTGTATGTGAGTGTGTGAGAGAGTGTGTGTGGGTGCGTGATAGAGAATAAGAGAAGCGGAGAGAGCGAACGCGAGAGAGACGCGAAGAGAGAGGGGGGGAGAGGGACGGAGGGAGAGGGATGGAGGGAGAGAGATAGAGGGATAGTGAGGGGAAGATACAGTGCTAAAAAAAAATAAAACACAGCCCATGGCCCACCAATGCGTTGCTGTGTTGTTTCACTTGTGTGTTACCTCCCGCCTTACTCTCACCTTCGCCTCCATCTAATTTGTTTCTAGACCACATCCCACTTTGGCTCCCAGCTAGAAAGATAGCAGATAGGTAGAATTCAAAGTAGGCCCCAAGTCATAAATCATCGAGATATCCCAGGAAACTGCACCCTTCTCTGCATTAAGCCACATCCTCGTGACCCTCACGGGCAACTCAGTGGACATCTAAGTAATAGAGCATCAAGCTGTTGAGCAGCTGCGCATTTCCCTCCGAGAGAGAATGAGGAAGCAGAAGACGAAGAAAAAGGAAAGAAAAACGACAAGTACAGTACGAAGTTATCGCAAGTGACCGTGAAAAGTCCACCCAGACTGCAACTCCTAGCCTTCTACCACATCGATCACCGGCAGCCTCTTTGTATCGAGCTTCTCATCTATCCCTCCGCCCATATATCTGACAACATGTCGCCAGATCTCGTTGTTTTCGGCCAAGTAGAGAGGAGTTTTCGAGATGCGAAGCTGATGCCCATCGTGTATGGCAATCAAACACCGTGCCTTGCGTCCAACGAAGGTGACAAGCATTACCTAGCGACAAACATTAGGCAAGGAATATCAGCCCCAATTCACCAAATCAGAACAAAAGCAACGTTGGGATTACCGGGACAACCATATCGAGAAGACCTTCCATAGACCACCGGGAATACATGAGTGCCAGAATGACCTTTAGCTCAGCCTTTAGCAGAGTGTGTTCCGAGTTGTCAATATCGCTGTGGCTGAGGATCGCTTTAACATGGGGCTGGAATGGTCGAATCCGACAGACATAGAGACCTTCGAGGTCCCACGAGATGTGGGTAGAGAAGATCACCTCATCTGTTTCGAAGACAGATTCCAAATTGGAATAGTCTCTGGCGAATGTTGCTTAGTTTGCAAAAAGCAGGCCTCCAAGCTGTTTTGGGGTCTGGAGACTTACGTTTCTCGCCACTTGTTCAACCAAGTGAGCTTCTGGGTCTCGTCTTCGCAATTCACCCGAGAGCTTGACATCTCGTGATGGAGCAAGGAGGAAAGTTCACCGGCAACTGCGGAGGATGAGAGCTTGTCTCCAAATAGCCTGAATTCCGGATCTAGTACCGCTGCAATCTTGTCGAAGCTTTCAGCAGTTTCCGGGTCAGAGCGGTCCACGGGGTGCTTTCGGATGTAGTCGTAGGTGAGAGGAACAAAGTAACTTGCGGGGTTCAGAGCTGGATGGATATCAGGATCATTGCCAGTGTCACTAGTGAGGTCGAGAGGTAAAATTCGGATGCCGAGCCTCGCTAACTGCTCTGGATCCATTAAGACCTGATCGAGCTCCATGGCCCTTATCATCTTATACGTGGCCCAGAGGTTAGATAACACCTCCTCGCGCTGAGAGTCCAGGTCATCCTTCTCAGGGGCACGCGAAAACCGACGTGGCAGGTGCTTGATGGTACGGATGGTTTTGCGAAGGATGTCAGACATCACGAGCAGCAGATGATCGCGGGGTGGTGGTGCTCGAGGTCAAAGGTGCAGACTTGAGAGATAGGATGTAAAGGAAAATGCGAGGAGAAGCAAGCAAGAGATAACACACGATGGTGTGTTGTTGATGTCATGCGGCGGACCGCCGTCGCGCCCAACACCTCACTGTCGCGTCACCTGACTTTTGCAAAGATGTAAACTGTGAATAACTCAAGCAACCATCCCGCGCATTTGGTGTGAAGCTCTGACTTGTTACACGAAACTTGAGTATGGCGCCCTCATCTCGCTCACATGCACAGTACATATTGTTGTCTGTGTAGCCGTCTCTATTTCTCAAGGCCTCACGCTTTTTTCTATCGCGTTATCACTCTTTCTATCGCACTTTTCAACTTTCTCAAGTCAGCTAGGAATATGCAAAACTGGGCGTTCTCAAAATTCTCGGTCTACTTCAATTTGTCACTCGAACAAGCGTTGACTTTCTGCTCAGTAAGTCAACGTCGATCTCATCCGCATTCACCCCATCCTCCGATCCTCCACCGCGCTTCAGCATCCCCATCATTCTCGACCAGATTCCTTCATTAATACGTCCCTGCACCCAATAGCCCGACTGTCTGCCCTCATCTCCACCGCCATTCGCATTCCCAATTCGCGTAGACGCCCTCGCCTTACACGTCGTCAACCCGTCGTCCATCCGCACTCCCATTCTCGTTAACGACCGACTCAACCGCGTGTTCCCGAGAACAAAGACGGGCTTCGTGCCCTTGACGTCCAATCCATACCAAGGCAGATGGCACCACGAGGTCAGCGCTACCCGGGCCGTGCGGGAGCCGTATCCTCGCGGAACTCCCGGGGTGTCCCGGACTGGCAGATGTTGGTCGATGATCTGGGCCACGCAGACGGGGTCACGGGCATCTTGGATGGTCTGGCGGATATGCTGGGCGATGTCGACGAGATCGTCCGATGCCGATGAGGCGGGGGCAACAGGTGCAACTGGGACGTTGATCCAAGGGTTGGTCAGAACGCCTGCGACCGAAGCGACATGCGATTGGATATTGAGGGTAAAGATCAGGCCGGTGTGGGCTCCCTTTGCCTTGGCAGTTGGGGAGAAGGCTGACTACGCGCAATTAGTTTCTTCGGGGGGCAGGGGGGGGGGCCCAATAGAATAGAGGAGGTCTGGGTGGCTGTAATGGACCGTACCTGATATACGAACGCCATCAAGAGGTCATGTTCCGTGACCTCGACTTCCCGACTCTTCGCCTGGGCCATCCACCCATCGATTTGCGACTGTGGCACGAAAAGCATTCGGCGCACCCGACGGGCGGAAGTGGGACACAGCGCCCAGAAGCGTTGGCGGAGATACGCCACCAGGAACCTCGCCCAGCTCACCCGAAAACCTTGCGAATAGCGAATGGCAATCGGGTGATTCGGCGTGGCATCGTGGGCGGCCGCGGTTTGCCCGGCCTCGATCACCTCGGGTTTGAGGAAGAATTCGGGTCGAATTGCAGTGTCCCCTCGAACATGCGTGCCTGATAGCAGAGCGCAGTACGTCTTGGCAATCCAGTGGATCCCTGGAACCAGTTAGCAACAAGAATCACATGGCGTCGTAGGCTGCGAGGACGAGTAGCGTACCCCCGGCGTCGGATAATGCGTGTTGAACGATGAACTGGATGACACATGCATCTCGCAGATGGACTGTTCGGATGGACAGTGCCTGTCGACCATCGTGCTTGCCGCCCTTGAACTGAACCAGCTCCTCCAGTACGCGGGGGTTGTAGAAGACAGGCTCGGGCTCAGCTTCAGTCGAGCACAATCCAGCGGTGTTCGATGGCACAAACTCGTCCAGATGCAGATTAACTGTCTTGGCGCGAAAGATTGTCCCGAGCTTGCTGGGGGTGCGTTTTCCCTGGATTAATCTCGAGCGCTGCGTGACCGTGTGAAGTTAGCATTGCTCACGAAAGTAAACATCGTTCGTGTGGCTGCGCAAAACTCGCCTTCATATTCAGTCTTGTACCCAGGATCGGATATTCCGTAATCATTTGGCGTGTCGCCGCCAGACATTCCTCCGGCGTCAGTTTGACCGGCAACGCAACCGTCAGATACACCTCGAGCTGGCGCGAGAACGACAGCTCTAGCGGCGAGAGCTCCATCTGCTGCTCCAGTGACCGCTCGGAGACTGGTAGTGAGCACGGCACAGTATCTTCCCAAGGCTGTTTTTCCATCATCATCTTCAAGATTGTGATCGATGCACTTTGACATCTCTCGTCTCTCCTCTTGACCCCCACTGAAGATGCGGACAGGAGTATATTTAACTTCCACCTACGGATAATTCGCCAGGTGTGGGGTTGCCAGGGAGCACCGCGTATAGACAATGAACAATTTCAATAGTCTTCGGAAAATAAATCGCGATCGTCATTGCGCCGTAACTCCAATCTCTTCTAAACGAAAGGAACCAATAAAGGTTTAGCAGGGTCATTCTGGCGTCTTTAAATAGTGGGGTTGAGGGTCTGAATTTCCATTTCCAGGCATCGCGATCATCGTCTTCTGTTTACGCCTGTGTTGAGGCCTCTGTTGTGTTGGTTTTTTCAAATCCCCTTGAGAAAAGATTGATCCGTCCGTCTGGGCCTACGCTCGACCCCGCGTCGACCCCATTGTCGCCCTCTGTCGGGTCTGTGATTATTCATGCGCACCAGGAATTATCAAGCCATAATCCCAATGAGGATATTGACCATTCAGGGAGAGCAAAAAGCCAGGATCTGCAGTGTCGATCTTCGGGAAACCAAGGAAGATAACTCGAACCCTTCGCTTGGCGGGCCAAGTTACGCGTGGTGGAGCCGCCCGAATACGATCAGCAGTTTCTACAGCGAGTCACGACGCGGCCCGAATCTTGATTCCGTGGGCGACGAATTTGAAATCGATCCGGCATGGTCAAGGTAATTGGACGCCATGTGGAACTGTCATGCAGCAGCAGCCGGCTCCTTTTGCCTCGTGGCTATAGCCAAAAAAAAAAAGAAAAGAAAAGAAAAAGAAAAAAAAAATTGTGCTGCAGCTCGGCCCGCTGGGAGCCAAACTTGAAATGCAATGATCTTACCCAAGCAGTCACAAAAGAATGGGGGAGAAACACATTCAGAAGGGGGGATTGGCTTGTGGTTACCCACCCAACTACTAACCTCCCGGCGTTTGGTTTGAACGCGGGGAGAACGTGGTAGGTGTCACTCATTAGGGCTTACTCTTTAACAGCTCGGAACCAAATACTTCAACAGAGAATTCCGGGGAGGTATGCGGAGGCCAGACAGCACGTTCTCGTGGTGGAAGACAGCGTTCAACAGGCGAAGTCTCAGTTACAGATTAGATGCAGCGGGCAGTGATGTCTCTGAAGGCATTAATAACCAAGAGGCCCTCGACAAAGTTGAGGTTCAGACCTATCTCTGTTTTCCTATCTTGTGGATAAAGAGATGTCCCATCTGGACAGGAACTCGGCCACTGATAAAATTTTGTAAAAGTCAAAAGCTCAGCAAAATACATCTACCCGCGACAGGCGTGTTGCAAACGCTAGAAAGGAGCAATGAGAGCATATGATGGCTGCTAGAATTGGGGACGTGATTTTCAAGCCCTATCCACTGCACGAGCCACTTGAAAGGATAAAATCTCTATTATGCTCCTAGGAACGACACTAGAGGCTTACAATCTTGAGCTTGCGCATATCGTATCATTTTTCACGGAATCCCAGGAGAATCGCTGCGAATGGAGTTGATTTCACCCAGAGAATATGTGGGGTAGTGGAAGGTGGGTGGGGCTTGTATCAACATACTATGGTCCTTGGCACATTTGTGAATGTTTTGATTGATACCAACCGTTGTTAGTACAAGGCAAGCTGGGATCATAAATTATTTCTCGGAATGATAATTCCAAACGGAATTTGTGAGCGGCCGTGCATATAACAGTACTACGACACAAAAGTTCAAAAGATAATTCCTGCCTCCCGAAATCTCTCAAATGCTTCCAACCAGCCATCAACCGGATCTCGCTGCTCCGTAAATCCCACCGATCTCAACCTCTTGGGACTGAACTGTCGGTCAAAAGTAAGCCACCACCCAACGGAATCCAATTGCCTCTTCCCATCGCCAACCCCACATGTCAGTCCCTTTGGAACCCCATTTTGCGCGAACAAATGGCGGTATTTGTCGATATATTCACTTGGTTTCAAAGTGTCGTCTTCCGCTGGTCCCACCCCTTTCAGCCCGAACCAGGCCGCGATGCCCGGCCAGAGGTCGCTAGCACTGACGGGCGTATCATTATCTAGCATGTTGATGATCTTCCCACCACATGATTCTGGATGTAGTGCTGCATGGATTGCAATGCGACCGAGGATTTCACTCGACACGGGCGTATATAGCGACCGATACCCAGCTTCGCTCCCTGGAAACGGAACCTCTACCGCTTTGTCGGTGGAGCCTCTGTGATTACATGCGTATAACGAAAGGTATTGCGCCCAGTGGAGAGCAAGAGAGTACGCCGAGCCGTTGGGGGAAAACCCAACCACGGCATCCGGACAGACCTCAGTCCAGGTCCAGTTGCGGTCCTTGCTGGCTTCGGTCAAAATCTTTCTGAACCACGGATACGCGACAGTTTGGGCGTAGTCGTCCGGCAAGCTGTCGGCCATGGATTCTTCGAGTGGTGGCTGGAAGACACCCTCAGGATTGTAGATACCGTAGCCCTGCTGATGTTGGTCTCCACTCCCGTTATGTGACTAAATGGCGACTTACTCTTGATCCGCCGGAATACACAAACGATCGGAGCATTGGGGCGACGATGTTCAATGCGTCGGCCAGTCGCTGCATGATACCGCAGTTCTGCGTGCACTCTTGGGTATAATCGTCGTTGAATGGCGCAAAGACTGATTCATGTTAGTATATCATCATCTAAGCCCTGCTTCCGATCGATACCTACCGAAATAAAAGACGTGGGTTATCCCCTCCGCACCGGTGACCCTTTCTTTAAGTTGCTTCGCCAGATCATCTGTGTTTGTCTGTAGCAAGTTGATCCCCGAAACTAGCTCAAAAGAAGGTCTGTTCGGTCCTGAAGGCAAACAGAGGTCAGGCTCTGCCACGGGCCGATTGAGCACCGCAGTGACACGAGAGAATTGGCCTGACGAGGGGTAACCGGAGAGCAGCTGGTTCAAGGCCGCCCATCCGAGCAGTCCAGCTGCCCCGAAGACGATGGCATGAGATCCTGTCGCCATTGAAGTTGTGTGGTCGAGTGTCAGGGAAACGCAGTACCAAGTTCCAGCGCTGTTACTGGGATATTTTAAAGTCTCGGTAATTTCAAGCGGGGTCCCTTCTGGGTTAGCTTATCCGGCGCAGCAAGCGCACTCAGAATGAATCATAATGAGTGCACTCCTACGAAATAAAGTTGCAAGCATGATAATCCTCATCAAAAAGGGAAAAAAAAGAAAGAAAAAGAAAAAAGAAGTTGACTTTCAAGTAGCTTTCTTAGAAGTTGCTAGAAAATCTTCTCAACATACATAGATTAATATAATCTGAAATCCTGCCTGAACAGTAAAAAAGATTAAACCACAATGAGGCTTTTTCGAACCATGCTGAATTGGACCCCGATACTCAGTCCGTCCATGGGGTGCGGCTTCGTTCTGGATAAACAGAACGGTATGCCATGATCAGTTGAGTCATCAAAAAGCCCAGCTGGCGGGTCAATGCATATCAGCGCATAGTATTTTTGGCCAAAGGCGATTTTTCATTGACCACACTTGGGCCAGCCAATTGCAACCTTGAGGCTGTTTTTCACATCCTGTGGTCGTAACATGGACATGGGTGACTCCACCAAGCCAGTATCCTTATACAACAAACAGCCGAGTGAATGACGAGCTGGTACGTGATGGAGCTTGTCTCTGGATGTCAACATAACAAACTCTCTCCAAGCCGGATAGGAGAATCCATACCACGGCCCATGCGCTGTGACTTTCCGTATTCCGATGTTTAGCATGTCCTTCCGTCGTACATAATCTAATCAGTATTATTGACTGCACTTAGCCTCTGTGTAAATTTCCCGACCACGCCTTTGGTGGCTATACAAACCGTGACGACTGTTCCTTGTCCTGGTGCCAGCTCAAATGGTAAGTAGTCTGGCAGTTCTTTACCGAGTCAGAGGTAATGTTTGCGTCCGCAGTCAGTCGGACATTCATGATTAGAGGCCGCAGATAGCATAATCAGGCATCTGTCACTGATTCCATTTTTGAGCTTGACATTCCGATTTTGCGATGATCTAGCCCCTACGGTTCTCATGGCCGGAACAGAGGGATCACCCTGGAATAGCCTCTACTCTGTTGCAGAGGAGACCTTGCCTAGATGGATCTCTCCCATCATTTTCGATATAGCGGTGCGCCTTTGCGGTGGCTAAAATAGATCTTATCGGCAGATTCTCATCTTCTCTCAAGCATAGGCTCCCAATTGCACCGGAAAAGGGCTATGTGAGAGGCGTTAGACGGAATGAAAAACCAGGAGTGATCTCCACAATGAGGAAGGGAATCGACAACTTTACCTCTCTATAAGTTTTCTTGGGCCCTTTAGCATAGCGATCCGAAGCATCAACGCCAGGCTTCCTTTGGCATCCATCAACTGTGCCCGCATGCTGTCCATCTGCAGCTTGTAGAACGACCAGTTGACAATCTCCGTCCGAGTCAATCTAATTTTACCTTCAGTGTCTGCACTCGTCTGTCTGCAGGTCTGTTGCAGGGCTTGGTACAGGTTGCTGAAGATTTGCTTGCAATTATTAGCCAGCTTGATTACGACTGCTGCGTCCGAGGTGCCGTGGTCTGGTTGTCATTATGATCTTTGTTGCTGAGGTCGTGGATGGTAGGCACCGCGGGTAGTTTTGGCTGGGGTGTTTCATTGTCGCCAGCCCAGCCAACTGCTGCAGATATACTCGTATTCAAGGAGACATTTTCGGCGATGTCGGTGATATCATCTTGTGCGGACTTGACCTGGCTAGTAAATGATATGAGCTTAATGGAACGATGGATCCCGGTGGCTGCGATCCCGAGAATAGCAGACGTGTACCGACTGCTTCCATTACGGCGAGTTGACGATATCATTATCCGTGGCTGGCTGAACTCTTTTGAGAAGCGGGGCATTCCTGCTAGCTTCTTGATCATCTATCCTTAGATCGGCGATTCATTCAGCGCAGGATACAGCATCAATCTTGGCCAATCCGAGTTCTGGATCCCGCATATGAGACGATAGTTCAGCCACACTGTGGGGATTAATGGGCCGAGCGGATCGCGGTGGGGTTTCTCAGCTGGCATTGTTCCCGGCATATGCCTGTGTCGGTATCATGCAGTGGGACATGGACTCCACTTTCTTGTACAAACATATTTGTTATCCTGCAGATCACTTTCAAAATGATCATTGATCTACGAACATGAGTCGCTGTGCACAGCCGACTCCACTTCCGAAGGCCTGATCAAGTACAGTACATAAAAGCCCCCCGAGTCCCCCCTTTCTCTTGCCTCCCTACTCGTGCAACAAGACTCTCCATTCTCACTCTTTTTATCCTACTCCAGCCCTTTCAATCACCATGCGGCGAATGAACGACGACGACTTCCGGGAACTCGGAGTTGGCCTCGGGCCGCTGGGATGGGGTATCTACTATACCTGTATGTATACTCCCGACGGATCAACCTAGCTCTATGACTTGAATGCTAAGATTCCAGGGAACCTATTCGCTGACAGCGATGACCACCCTGAATGGAGGACTGGGGTTGACATGACGGGCTGGACGCTCGCCTGCAACGACGACGATGATCTCGTCTTCCTGAAGACCGAGGATTACACCTATGCCTACTTTTGCCACAACAGCGCCCCCGGCGGCGCCTACTTCAACCTTCACAACTTCTCTGTCAAGTCGCGCGAGTCGAACGCCAAGTTTATGGTGATGTACCCACGCAGTGGCCACGAATGCGACCGGGACCAGATGGTGGAGTGGGCGCGGCGCTGGAGCGGTTATGAGGTGACGGGAGACGAGAAGGAATATTACATGGAGTTGATCCGGGCAGCGAAAGCCGGGGAAGGGCAGGAACAATAGAGATTGCTGCAGCATAGGTCCCAACCTAATCTATTCGAGGGGATGCGGATCTCTACCGTTCCATATAGTTCTAGCATATTTCTATGCATATATGGAGTACTGTAACTCCGTGTGTACTCTTAGATCTACCTAAACATTTTTCATCGTCTTAGGCTGTCCCCTACGCATCCAGTACTATGTACTGCACCACTACGTCTTCCTTCTCCACCGCTGCCTCCTCTGTCCCGATTATCGGATATAGACACAGCCGGCTGGAGCCGAGCACGCGTCCAAGTTCTATTTACGGTTAGTATACCCCACCATAAATCGGGATCTCGGATCATTGGTTAGGCAGATCGATCGTTAGATCCCGGCCCTTACCATGGGTAACATACTGGAATGTACCACACAAGAGGATTTCCTATTTCGCTGCCAAAAGACATGTACCGCATGTAAACTGAGATGTTTATGGCTCCAGCTTGATTAGCCGCCCACCAATACGATCCACCGCGATTATATTAACATTAGAGTATCAGTATATAACAAAAAGAGGATCTGTCCATACTCTCTTCTACTTCGCAAGGTTTGTATAAACGGACAATTTTTTACAATATTAACGACGACGGTTTGAAAATATTGACTGGATTAGACGAGCAAGTATCATAAGGATCGGCGGTTGCTGGTGTAGGCATTTGCAACAAGCGACGCCTGTACCAACAGCTGTATAACTGAGGATATACACCACCCCTAAGCCCAGAGTGGATTGTAGGAAACAAGACAGAAGGGGGGAGAGAATACTAAGCAAGTATAAAACAAATACACAAAAACATACAACAGAAGGGATTCGCTGGTGGTCACCCACCCAACTACTAACCTCCCGGCGTGTGGCTTAAGTACGGCTGAGCGGACGGGAAGCCCTGTTTTCCACACCCTGTGGTCGTATGTACCGATTCTCAAGACGCTAGTGCTTGTATTCCGACCAGCAAAAGCTGGTTATTTACGACGCCATCACTTGAAGACCGACTGTTGCTCAACCCCATCCTTCATGTACTGTACTAAACTGTACACTCAATGCCTCAGGCCGAGCTGAGTGTCCTCGTCCAACCCTAACAACAATTTCCAACTAAGGCATCATGGACCTGTTCCACACATCAGATCAACAAAAACACCCCAACGGCAACATCATCTCCAGGGCCCTTGTTCACCTCGCAAAAACCCACCAACAACCCCCAACCACCCCGACCACCGCAACCGCAACAGCCCAACGCAATAATCTGCGCTGAATATGATACTCCGCAACGCGATCGATAGCCTTGGAATCATTAATCCGAGGAAAAGGAATCCCCTGGGGCACCTCCTTCCCCAGCGCCCGACACAGCGGCTCCCAGCTGTCCCTGAAATCAAAAAACACCAGCCGATCCGCGGGAACGACCTCCCTCAACCACTCTAGATGGCGGCCATTGATCCAGGCGTTGTTCCGGCGCCCCTCGTAGATCCGATCCCACTGCCGCTGCAGCAGCGCGATGTAAGTCACAAAGTGCCGCATCCCCGGCAGCGGCAGCAGCACGGCGCGCAGGAACCACAGCTGCGCCAGCGAGCTGACCTGTTGCATGCTGCGCACCCAGCCGTCGCGGTCGCGCACTGTCGCGATTACGGGTTAAAAAAAAAAGGGGGGGGGGGGGG